CAATCCTCTTGGCTATGCGGTAAGGTTCAATATACCGAGGACTAAGTTTCCCCTTCTTACGGTGAAACTTTCAAATATACCCAATCATCTACTTCAAACTCTAACGCCCTTCTCCTAACATCAGTGTAGGATTTTTGATGACTCTGCGCCATTTTCAACCCTTCTTGAATCACCTTCACCTTCTCCATAGCTTGGTGAACTAAATATGGTCCTATCAACCCTGCTTCACCAACTTCAAACCATCCAATAGGAGATCTACATCTTCTCCCATAAAGGGCTTCATATGGAGCCATCTGGATGTTAGAGTGATAACTGTTGTTGTAGGCAAACTCAATGAAAGGTAGGTGATCATCCCAACTCCCTTTGAAATCGATTACACAAGCCCTCAACATATCTTCTAAAGTCTAAATAGTGCGCTCGGCTTGCCCATCAGTCTGAGGATGAAAGGCAGTACTTAAGTTCACCTTTGAACCCAAACCTTTCTGAAAAGATTTCCAGAACTGCACAGTAAACTGTGCACCTCTATCTGAAATAATGGAGACTGGGACTCCATGAAGTCTCACTATCTCTTGAATATACAACTTGGCATAATCTTCTACTGAATGGGTAGTCTTTACCAGTAGAAAATAAGCTGACTTTGTCATTCTGTCGACAATCACCCAAATAGAATCAAGCTGTCTGCGAGACCTTGGCAACCCTGTGATGAAATCCATATTGATCATCTCCCATTTCTATTCCGGAAGTTCTATTCTCTAAGCCAAACCACCGAGCCTTTGGTGTTCAACTTTTACTTGCTGGCAATTTGGGCACTTAGCAACAAATTCGGCAATACCTTTCTTCATGCTATTCCACCAATAAACTTCTCTCAAGTCACGATACATCTTTGTGGAACCCGGATGAATGGAATATCTGGAGCTATGAGCTTCCTCCATAATCCTCTCTTGGAGTCCATCTACCATAGGTACACACAATCTACCTTGATACCTCAATACGCCATCTCCCCCTTGTTCAAAAGCTTGTACTTTTTGCTTTTGAACATCTGCCTTCAACTTAAGCAAAATGGGATCTTGATCTTGTTTCTCTTTCACTTCTGACACTAATGATGACTCGGCTCCGCTCGTCACTTCTATTCCTCCTCCTGTGGAATCTATAAGTCTGACTCACAGGCGTGCCAGTCTATGCACATCTTTTCCTAACTCTCTCCTCCCTTCTTCAATATGGGCGGTGCTACCCATAGACAACCTGTTTAAAGAATCAGCAACAACATTAGCCTTACCTGGGTGGTAAAGAATACTCAGGTCATAATCCTTGAGTAATTCTAACCACCTCCTATGTCTGAGATTAAGCTCTTTCTGAGTAAGCACATATTGAAGACTCTTGTGATCAGTAAATACATCAACATGCACACCATACAAGTAATGACGCCATATCTTCAAAGCAAATACTACAGCAGCTAACTCTAAGTCATGGGTTGGGTAGTTCTTCTCATGAACCTTCAACTGTCTGGAGGCATAAGCTATGACCTTGCCATTCTGCATTAAGACACAATCCAAACCAACTCTAGATGCATCACAATACACCACAAAACCTTGAGTACCTTATGGTAAGGTCAAAACTGGAGCAAAAATCAACCTCTTTTTCAATTCCTGAAAGCTTTTCTCACAAGCTTCAGACCATTGAAATTTCACTGTCTTCTGAGTCAACTTGGTCAAAGGAGATGCAATAGATGAGAACCCCTCTACAAACCTTCTATAATAGCCAGCTAATCCCAAGAAACTCCTAATATCAGTTGGAGATGTGGGTCTAGGCTAATTCTGCACAGCCTCAATTTTCCGAGTATCAACTTTAATTCCATCACCGGACATAATGTGGCCTAGGCACGCCACCGATTCAAGCCAAAATTCACACTTAGAGAACTTGGCATACAACTCCTTATCTTTCAAAGTCTGAAGAACTATCCTGAGATG